TGACAAAATCTTTAAACACTTGTTTCAAATTTTAAGGAAGTTTGTAATTATTTTTTTCAATAATACCTTCAAAAGTTGTAAAATTGAATCTTAGTTGAGTTCCAAATTCTAGAATCCCAAATTTTTGATAAATGTGTCAAATAATGTCATTTTGAAACGAAACTAATTATATTATATTTTAAAAAATGATCAAAAATGTAAAATAGAGAAAACTGGTAAATTTTGGTTTTCCCAATTCGAATATTCCCAAAAAAAAAGAACGTTAATTCTTTGTTTTCAGAATCAGTATCGAAATATAAAATTCTGAGAAAAAATCATTGGTAATCAAAAATTTAAAAATAAAAATTTAGACCGTGTAAAAATTACCCATAAAAATTTTAATGAATCACTTTAAATATTAAAAAAAAAAACCAAACATAAAACATGCCCGTAGTAAAGATCTAGTTGGTCTAGAGGTCCGACACAAGTACCTGAAAAATCAAAATAAATTCAAATAAAAAAGTTTTATTAAAATCGCTTCAGCCAAAAAATACAAACATAATTTCAAAAACAGTTCATTTACATGTAAAATTAGATTATTGAAAACTCAGTAACCAAAATTTCGATGCCATACCATGACCGCTCTTAATGTATATGAATGCGGTCGGTAACAAACCATTAAAAACAAAAATAAATTTTTTTCTTTTCTATTCTTTTCTTAATTTTTTTAACCATTTACGAATTTTACACACAAAAAAAAAAAATTAAATTAAATTCAATCAAACTCTACGATCGAAAATTTAATTCTCAAGATTTCAACATTTCAACATGGTTGAAAAATATTAAAACAGAGTGTTAGAAAAATAATGATTTCCATATACTCCAGAAAATTTTTTTTATTTATTTACAACATTACATACAAAAAAGTATAGGTTAAAAATAAAATAAAAGAAAAACATATTTGAATTTTGCCGATAGACTTGTTAAACACAATTTTCCAAATAATTATTATATCCAATGTACGAGTATATATATAATATACAGATTATATATGTACACATCACACCCTTAATACAATAGCATGACAAGTCCATAATATTATTATGAAACAAAAAACGAATTCATTCTCTTTATTTCGGTCTAACCGACCGTTGCAATATTTCAGAAATTACAAATATTTTTAAGGTATTTTTTATAGACACTCATTTAAATTTCCCTTTTTTTTCTCATGCTCATTGATAAATTTATTACTTTATAACAATACTAATATTGTAATAATGGTTCGAAACAAATTCAAAAAAACATTAAGGAAGTCGTAGCGGAAATAACATGAAAATGTTGCAATTTTTCACTGGACGAAAATACATATATAATTTACTAGTTTCTTAGACGTAATTGTAAAACTAAAACATTAAGTGTTATTAATTTCGTCTACGTTTTGTATTCAAACTTCTTGGGTTTTAAGCTAAACTTATACGAAAGTGTGAATTTCGAAATATTGAGATATTGTACTTAAGGTGCAATGTAGAAAATTTTATTTATACTTAACAATCTATACAATATGAATTATTTTTGTAACAAAAATGTCTTTTAAATGCCGCAAGTAAAATTACGTAGTTTTAGGCCATTTTTATTAAGAATGATTTTTCGTACTTATGTATAGACAAGTATAAGGAAATAATATAAAAATATTTTTGACGTTTATATAAATATTATGACAAGTAGTGGTGTTAAAAATTTTAATTAAAAAAATAAACTAATGCTTGCTTTCCATATTGGAACAAGAATAGTATAGAAATAATTACATATACGTATAATTGGGCGTAGGTGTAAAGAATGACAACCAACTTGCAATTATTTACAGGTCAAATCTTTTAAATATCAAAGATTTGAAATAATGTAATTATTTTTGACATTTGTTTATATAAATGTACGTATGTTGCACATCAACTCGCTATAAAATATAAAAGTACTTTTAAAGTATAGTTTTTTAGTTACTGTATTTTATGATTCCTTTTTTTTATACAGCTAAACTTAGCAAAAATGATTCAAAAGCAAAAAAAATATAGACTTCAGCTAGAAAACCTATTATCGTCTATTTTTTGTATACGCTAGTGCATTTGAGCGTAGAGATGGGTACCTATAGTTAGACGTAGGAATAGTTACAAATGAAATGCAAAGATTATAATAAAGATTATCATATCGAATATTAATAGATTTTAAGTGATAGACTTTTTTCCAACCAGATATTCTTTAATCCCGCAAAAGTACCCTTAAAGGTTCACAATTAGCACATACTTCCCCACTTCCTCCCACCCACAAACACGCACAGTATTTTTTTTAAAAAACATTAAAAACTCGCAATCTTAACATCCGGACCAATTAAAAAATTGGAGTTGGAATATTAATCTACAAGTACCTTTAAGGCTTTTTGCTTACTGAAACAATTATTTTAGCATTTCTGTAAAGAATTTGTATATCTAGCGAACAGACAAACTTTTTCAATATTGTTCACAGATTTTTCATAATTTAAAAAAAAAATGTAGAAAATATTTTAGAAATTTTTTATTTTTATATAAAATTACACATGTGCTGTAGGTTTTACATTAATGGAAATTCTTACAGGTGATGGTGGCATAAATTTATGCTACATATATAGGTTGATTGTTGTAGCAAACTTAATGTGTTTAAGCCCCTGCTCGTATTTATAAGGAACCTTTAAATTTTTGAAGGATTTAGTGCTTTATTTTTTGTTATTTCTAAATTTTCCGTTTTATAGTGGTGCACAGCATACATGCGCAAATATTTAAGGCTTTAATTTTTTTCTATAATAAAATTATTTTATATATTTTAATTTATAGCTATATAATTTTTAATTATATTAATGTGTACATTGCATACAAAGCACTACCCATAAGGCAACTAATAATTATTGGGATAAGTATTTAAGCAATTATGAAAAATATCCGTATAGTATGAACATTCTCGAATTATTAATAATAAATACTAAAAATTTTAAGGTCTAATTTCAATGTTAAAGTAATCCTGCATCAAACCCTTGTTTTATGTATGTGTAATTGATGGTTTTTAATTAACTTGATCTGAATTCCTGTTTTCGACCAAAAACTCGTCAAAATCAGATCTTTTATTTATTTTTTAAGAAGATTCTATGCAACTGTACTACAGTAAAAGTAACTTGTTGCAGGGTAATTTATTAAAGAATAATTGTAAAAATTATTTGATAATTTAAGTAAAACACCCTGCATACCTTATCATTTTATGTAGTTTATACACACACACACACACACATATGAAGACTAAATTTTATGAAATACAAAAAGTACTAAAAAAGAAAAGAGCACGCCAATATTTTAAACTTGTAATTTTCGCACATTTCTTTTAAAAATTTATGAGCATTCAAACTCTTAATATGGAAACTTAGTTTTTAGCTACATATATTCATACATACACCTAAATATTAAAGGAATGACTTAAAGTAATATTTTTTTTTAATTTTCTATTGCAAGTATTTAGGTATGTGCGTTTATAAATGTGCATATACACTTTTATGTTCATATTTAACTTAAATAAATATGAAAATTGAATAAAAAAAAAAACTGTTCATTAGTGGGTTGCAGACAGATTTTAATAACGTATAGTTGATATACACGGGTATATGAATATAAATATTTGTATATATATATTAAATATTAAGGTGAATTTTTTATCTACATTCTACAATATAAGTATGTAATATCATGGGCACATATGTGTAAACATTGTAAATTGTTAAATACATTAATATCAATTATAATATTATTATATAAATGTATAACAATTTAAGCGATTTAAAAATTAATGAAACTTTATAATATAAAATATAATTTTCGTTTTAAATTTGAAACAAAAAATTTTCAAAATATAAAACAAATTTCATTATATTTAATTCATTTTTATTTTATGTAAAATCCAATTAGATCGGGCTAAAACAATGATTTGTAATGTAGCACTTTTCCCTTCAACAAGTGAAAATACTGATTTTAAAAACAATCTTTTTGTACTACACTATTAGCAGATTTGCTTTCATTCATATACGAAACTATTTCAAGAATTGCATACATTTAGGATGAACGATTTATGCAGTCTTTGAAATAAAACTAAAAAAAATCTAATGAGGCGTTATCATAATGATAGAATTAAAGGGTTAATTGCATGATTTAGGAAAAATAATTATATTTTTTTTAAGAAACTTTTAATCGCTCATGTGAATAAATCTTCATTTTATCTAAAATTGAATAAAAATATTAATAATAATTGACAATTTATAGCACTTGAAAAATGAAAAGCAGTGATTATTTTTCATTTTTAAACATTTTATTAATGTTTTTAAAATTTTAAAATTCAAATGTTTTTTTGCTATATATATCTTTACTATTAAAGATTTTTTAAGGTTTAAAAACATAAATTAAAGTTTATAAGAAGATGGAAAAAATTCTTTAAAACAAAAATTTTAAAGTTTCTAAAAATTTCACATGATACGTATTGTGGGGATGAACAAAATTGAAAAAATATAAAATTGAAAAAATTGCTATTTTTCCAAAGTTCGAATGTTTGTTATTTCGAAAGTACATAAAATGCAACATCAACTAATATGTTGCTTTCATCCTTTACTAGCCCCTTTAGAATTTTTACCATTTGGTGAAAATTCAATAAAATACCTGTATCTCTGAAACCGTTGAGATTTGACAACTAGCTCGAAACAAAAAAATTTCATCCGTTTTTTGATACCCTCAACAGTTACATACAATATGGTACACTTTACTGAATCACCCAGTATATAAATACACTTGAATTTAAAATTGCATAAATGCATTATACTTTTGTGATAAAATGTTATCTTATATTATTTACATTCCATATTTTTTACATAATAAGCACTGAGTTAGAAATTAGAGATTTTCTATAGATTTTAATTTCCATATAGAACAAAATTATCAGTTTCTACATTTCCTGTGAGAGAATACACTTTATTCATTACATTTAATTATAAATATTATTTCTTAAAACGAGTTCGGTATTGAACGTGAAACAAGCAACAAGTACTTATAATAATTGAGAATTTATCAATACAATATTTTTGTTAATTCCATTATAACCGTTTTGGCCATTATTTTGCTTAAAAAATCTGAATTTTAAAAATTTTATTGAGATCAACAAGTAATAATGGTAAGTATATAAAATATATAACTGAATTAATTAAATATTTAAATTTAAAAATGGATAAAATTGTAAATAAATTATATGAGCAAAATCATAGAATAGATATGCTATATAAGAGTTTCTTTAATAGTGATATTAACACTTTAGTTTCAGTGTAAAAAAGATTATATTTAAATAAATTAATAGAAAAAACAAAATTTGTGGAAGAAGTATGAAAATTTTCTAAAATTGTGATATACATGCTGTAATATATGATATAATATATCAAATTTTTAGAAAAAAAGCTAACAACCTAAAAATTAATTAATGGGTGAGCCAAAAGTGTTGTTTTTATAATCAAAATACATTTTGTATCGTTTATAGACAATTGAAAAGAAAAATGTTCTAAATACATAATTGCATTAAACTTAAAATTTTGAAAAATTCTATAATAATATACAATTAAAAGTTAATATTATATGTAAATGCAAATATAAGCACCCTAGATTTATGTATGAACATATTTATATATTATATATAACTATAATTGTAAATATTTTTAACTGCCGCATTAGATACCATAATGGGGGTATTGCAATGGCACCGAATTTCATATTTATTGATTTATTCATATTGATAACGGAAATATATTTTCCAAAGATAAAAAAACATATATAAATTTCGGGAAGATGTCTTTACGCTTTCTCTCTGTATATCAGTTTGTCTGTCTGTTAAGCAAATTAGTTTTTATAGACGAAAGTAGTTGGCCGAATTTGGACTTTTATTAAGTGTCGATTGTATACATTCTTGTTGAAGAAAAAGAAAATATCTTTGCCGATGAAACAAAATATTACCAAAGAGCTTTATAAATTTGTTTTCAATTGATTTTCAATTTTTCTGTAAAATTTCCGGATTTGATCAAAGTTTTAGAATTGAAAAATCTATTATAATATTAAAACCATTTGAATCGCTGACTGTAATTGAGTGTAATAAAAAATATTTTACCACCTCACTTGTGATAACTTTAATTAATCACTTGAAAAATGTAATGAAAAAGTTCCAAGTTGATGATAAATATTTCCAACATGCATCTTTAGATTTTTTATACGGTCTTAAGTTGATGGTAGTTAATAGAATTTTTAATTTAGAGCAAATATGGATAGTTTTAAAAATAATATATTTTTACTAGAGAGGTTTTAGAACGTACAGAGCATATTTATAAACAAGATGGATTTTAAAATAAATTGAAATTCAAGAACTGGAACTAATTTTGAAATTATTATAGAATAATTTGAGGTACCTGAAATGCAACAAAATACCTCAAGATCTCGGCCTATTACTATATTTTAAAAATATTTGGAAAAGCCTATTTTATCATGGTCTTCCAAATATTTTTCACATGAAAACATGCTTCTTTCATACGAAAACATGCATTACTGTCCAAATATCACAAATTTATGACATTGGAACATCAGTCCCCTGTGAGTTTTTTTTTAAGAAAAATTATTGCCGAAGGGCGAAGTTTATTAAAACCTCAAAAATTAAAGAAAAAATTTTATTTTTAAATGAAAATGTTGATTTATTCATTTTTTTCTTTATTTTACAACCAAAAAAGAGCAGTGAACAGGTGACACTGCTCATTTTCACTGAGAGCAATTTGAGCAATCACATTGCATTACTCTGTTGGGAAAAACTAAAGTGTTTCATTATTGAAATAAAATACTAATTTTTTTTTGATTTTGCAAACTCATAGATTATTTTTTGTTTTTAAATCAGAATTTATAGTGAATGAATTTTGAATTTGCTGTACATTTTGAAAAAAAAAAAAAAAAAAATTTACAGTGATTGAGAATTTAAATTTTCTAATTTTTTTATAACATTCTTCTGACCCGGGGAGTAAAAAGGCAAAATACACGATGAATAAATTATTTGATACATACATTAACGCATATTTTAATTCCAGTATGAACACAATGAATTCCGAAATATCTCAAATTTCTTTATAGGGGTCAAATTTTACATTTTTCACTTTTTTATATCTTAAAGGCATTTCTTAAAGGTTAATGCACGAGTTTTGAAAGTGAAAATTTACCAAGATCCAAATTAAAATTCTTTTAGGTATTTTAATTAAAACTTACTAGCTTTGTTAAAATTTGAAATAAATGTTTAAAAATCAATTGCATATTCGTGTGTAACACTTTTATCCAACTAATATAAGAATAAATAAATAGGGATTTCTTAATTGTTATTGAGAAAATAAAAATTGCGATCGATTGTGTACTAACCACATCAGTTTCCTTTTAATTTTTTCGTTTTTTTTTTTTCGAATGGCAACAAGGTTTATATTTCATGTTTGCATTATTTTTTATAATAAGCACATTTCAAAAAACGAAAATATCTTAATTTACTATCATAAATCAATTTTTAGTAGGTTATTCTATTAATTGAAATAAATATATCAGTTAACTGTATTATTAAATGCATTATGTTATATTATTATTATTATTATTATTATTGTTATCATTATTATTATTTTGTAAATTTGCTTTATATACAAAAATTTTTTTCATTTTAAAATTTGATATTTTCCCATATAACTTGTATTTATTTAGATTTATATCAATATATGTATGTGTGTATTTATATTTAGGTATATGTTTGTACTTACTTGTATTATAACACAAATACAGTGACTTCCCAAAATATGAAACAATTTTTCAATATCAATTAAATCAATAATTTGGGTGTTTTTGAAAATGAAATTTTGGCATTTCTAACTTAGAACTTAAATAACTTAGATCGCAGAAATAACGCAGATGCAAAAACTACACATTCGACAATAGCACAAAAAACGATTGCCATGTGTTTTTTAAAGGATTATTCTATCCCAGAACTTTTTATTTCCAGTTCACTGGAAATAACATTATTAATTAACATTTAAAAAATAATAAATAACATTATTTAAAAGAAACTTCTCTTATCCTATTAATCAGACGATATATTATTTTAAGTACAAAATAGTTTCCGCAACAGTAAAATCAAAACTGAGTTGTTGTGCGTATATTTTAACTTGCAGTTGTAGTTGTAAAACACGTGCAGTACTTTATTGCCGAACATACTACACATTTAGTGCTAAGTTAGAAGTGAATTGTCAAAAACACAGTTTATTACTATTACCTAAGTGGAAATTTCTTTATATAACTGCAGAACAGACGAATGACGTAATCAAAGGAACAAGTTAAAATCCAAAAAAATAAAAAATTTTGTCTTCTCGAACCAGTGACCTATCGCTTTTTATATGTTTCTTCGATAATATACAAAAACACTCTAAAATCAAAATTGTCAATTTCGAGTATATTTTGAAAATTCTAAGAATAGAGTTCATATTATTATTTGAGCATCCCTTTAAATGATTAAAGCCAAGTTTTAGACAAGAGCAAGCACCGATTGTAAAAATGAAATTAAAATAGTCCCTTAAGTGTAAGTTTTACCCATCAAAGTAGTCAAAGTCAGCAGAATATAGTAAAGTGGACAATATCGAGTAAAATTAATTTTAATACTATATGCTTGTCTTTATAAATCTATATAACTCTAAAATAATTTGCAACAAATGTTAATGCATAAACTATAGTCAATGCGAATATAATTATCGCAAGTACCCATATTGTGCTAACCTAGGTTTTACAGATTTTGGAAGTTTGTCAACGTAATCTTAAACAAAGCGTGGCATTATGTACGCAAGTAGATATGTAAGAAAATTTATTTGTCAAATATATTCCATTTTTTTTTTGTGAGATTTTATTTTTAAGTTCGACTTGTCAGTTTTTTGCAAATATTTTCATTAAATTCGGAAATCTGTTTCGATTTTCTAAGTTGATTAGCCAAAATTTATAATATATAATACCTAAGCCAAAATTTATAATACATACGTATTATTATTTCTTTTGGAAATATTATGATTAAAGTCAAAAAATTGAACGACGTGGTTTTTTTCTAACACGGTTTCTATATTGTAAATGGAACCCCCTACTATAAATCATCTCATTCTTATTTTTCTTATACAAGCTTAACATTTATGTTCAAAAGAAGAGTAAAGTGATTTAATAGTACGAGATATGACTGTATACAAACTTTCTGTATATAGCTAATTGGATCCACACCAAAATTTTATACTATTCCCAAATATGTGTATATATGTACATATGTATTATAAAAATATGTTTACCTGTTAACTTAATTTTTTTCTCTTATAACAAGTGGACCTAAAAAATTGCTATATAATCCCAAATGTGAATTTATTTTTTGATTAAAATAAACGAATTTATTTTGATTGTAGGTATATGTTTTTTTATTCCAACTAACATAAGAAGCATTTAACAGTATTGACGTTTTAATTTTATTGCACGTAGTGTGAAAAAAATAAACAACTTGCTTTTTGGCACTTTTTAAAAAAAAAAATTTTGAAAAAAGTACTCATTAGTTTTATTCTCACAGTTCGCTTTAATAGATTCAGAAACTTTTTGCAATAGAGGAAATCATACCTTCAGAATCCCTGGCATTCGAAATTTAGAGAAAATTGAAATTTTCTCTTGTTTTATTTTTCCAGTTTTTTCTAACTAGATAATTTCGTAAGAAATTTTTTTTGTAGAATTTTTCCCAGCTGTTTAAACATTAATTTAAGTCCTCAAACATTAAAAATTTTTTATGGTACGGAAGATATAGCACAAAAACCATAAATATTGTGAGCCACAAATTCAATTCAAATCAAACCAGATGTTGATAAAACTAGAATTTTATGCAATTTAATATTCCTTTATTCAAAAATTTGGAAAATGCGAATTCCTTATGGAAAAAATTTACAAATTTCTCAAAACACACACTAAATTCTCCTAGGGAATTCACCTCGTTCGGCAAAAATTTATGTTTTTCTTCTTTCAAATCTATTTCTATTCAATCGCATATTTTAAATCAATTGCTTTACTAGAATACTTCTTTAGTTGCATCAACGTTATGCCAATTTTAGTTTG